GAGAAAATAAACGCAGGATCGTTGTTTGGATCACTGCTTTCGTGGGATCTTTGCCTGTGCCGGGAGCGCTTTGACTCGTGGACCACCAAATCACAGATTCTGATTGAACCGTGAGGGGTTTATGATTCTGACTTCGTTTATCGAAGTGAGAAGTTGAAACGATATCTTATCGATGTAAGATAGTCGTTCTTCTTGAAATCAAGTCAAAACCTGAATATCAAGGATTGGCCGAAAGTTCAAGACCTCTGCTCTCTCTCTGCTTTGGATTGCTCTGGATTGCTCTGAAGTGCTCAAAATGATCAGCCCCTCTGAAAAAATGGCCTTCGGGGAGTATATATGCCTCTAGGAACAATTGGCAGAAAACAGGTTCGCGAGACAACATTTGCTGTCTCGGCGGGCGAGACAGTGTTTGCTGTCTCGCTGGCCGAGACAGTGTTTGCTGTCTCGAGACAGTAAACACTGTCTCGGAAACAGTAACCGCAGGCAGTTTTCATCTTAACTGCCTTCCCACGTTTCAAACTCCGTTATTTTGGCAGTTATCCGCGTGATTCTCGCCCACGACGCTTCCCACGTTCTTGAACAGTTAATGGACGTGTGTGGGGCAGTTGTTCAAGGTGGTTTCTGACCATCTCAAAGCTGTCTCGCTGGCGAGACAGCAAACACTGTCTCGCTGGCGAGACAGCAAAGTCTGTCTCGCTGCCTGTCTTCCCACGTTTCAAACTCCGTTATTTTGGCAGTTATCCGCGTGATTCTCGCCCACGACGCTTCCCACGTTCTTGAACAGTTAATGGACGTGTGTGGGGCAGTTGTTCAAGGTGGTTTCTGACCATCTCAAAGCTGTCTCGCTGGCGAGTCAGTATTTTTTGACGCCTACAGATACCCCCTCCAAAGTATTCCAGACTCAATCTTTTATAGAGGAGTTCTGGGATGCTTTGGATAAGATAGATCTTACTTATGATCCTTTCAATGCTTGGTTGAGTAGATCGTGTAGAGGAACCCGTAGGTGGCTTCAACTTTTGATCTCTTTGTCTCTCAATCTATTCAGTGCTTTGTAGAATAGTTAAGATTCTTCCGGCATCGCGTTTATCGCTTGTCCATTGTAGAGATCTTGAATTAAAGCTGGAACTTGTACTTGTGAAATCAGCTCTTGTCGTCAAGTTGACACTGCATATACCCGTTTAGGGGTAGTCAGGTTATTCTCAAGAATATTTTAACTGATATTCTCCAGAAACTTCCTGTTGAGGGTAGGAAAACAGTTTAGACTCGTGTACCTATTGGAGTATTCAGGTTATTCTTAAGAATATTCTGAGTAATATTCTCTAGAAACTTCCTGTTGATGATAGGGAAACAGTTTAGACTCGTGTACCTATTGGAGTATTCAGGTTATTCTTAAGAATATTCTGAGTAATATTCTCCAGAAACTTCCTGTTGAGGGTAGGAAAACAGTTTAGACTCGTGTACCTATTGGAGTATTCAGGTTATTCTTAAGAATATTCTGAGTAATATTCTCCAGAAACTTCCTGTTGAGGGTAGGAAAACAGTTTAGACTCGTGTACCTATTGGAGTATTCAGGTTATTCTTAAGAATATTCTGAGTAATATTCTCCAGAAACTTCCTGTTGAGGGTAGGAAAACAGTTTAGACTCGTGTACCTATTGGAGTATTCAGGTTATTCTTAAGAATATTCTGAGTAATATTCTCCAGAAACTTCCTGTTGAGGGTAGGAAAACAGTTTAGACTCGTGAACCTATTGGAGTATTCAGGTTATTCTTAAGAATATTCTGAGTAATATTCTCCAGAAACTTCCTGTTGAGGGTAGGAAAACAGTTTAGACTCGTGTACCTATTGGAGTATTCAGGTTATTCTTAAGAATATTCTGAGTAATATTCTCCAGAAACTTCCTGTTGAGGGTAGGAAAACAGTTTAGACTCGTGTACCTATTGGAGTATTCAGGTTATTCTTAAGAATATTCTGAGTAATATTCTCCAGAAACTTCCTGTTGAGGGTAGGAAAACAGTTTAGACTCGCACTTAGAGAATCTGGACGGGTTTAAATAATCCTAACTGTCATAAGGTTTGATTATTCAACTAAAAGTGGACCTCTCGTTCATGGAAGAAATCAAGAGGGGATTTTGGTTGTGGTCCTAACTGTAGTAAGGTTTGACCAAGTGGGAGTTCTGAGATGATCCTAACTGTTTAAAGGTTTGATCATTCAATTTGTGGACCTCTCGTTCATGGAACGAATCGAGAGGGGATTTTGGCTTTGGTCTTAACTGTATAAAGGTTTGACCAAGATGAGAATTTTGAGACGATCCTAACTGTTTAAAGGTTTGATCGTTCAATTTGTGGACCTCTCGTTCACGGAACGAATCGAGAGGGGATTTTGGCTTTGGTCCTAACTGTTTAAAGGTTTGACCAAAATGGGAATTTTGTGAGGGAAGATTGATCTAAAGAGGTGATCGAATCTCATCTCAGCAAAAGAGTATTCGGAAGTCATAGTAGGAGTTTAGTGTTTATCACTTTATTCATAATGATCGGGGTTATCCCTAAGAATATTACATTTAACATTCTTTCGGGAACTTCCCGTTACATGAATTATCCACCCTCAGCTTTCTTTGCAAAACTGGGTGTAACGAGGAGTACGTTATTCTCAGTCGCATGTTCGGGTTATCCTTAAGAATATAAGATTCTCCAGGAACTTCCCGTTACATAAATCATCCACCCCCAGCTTCCTTTGTAAAGCTGGGTTTACCATTGTATTCAGTTAGATGACCGAGAAGCAGTTTATACTCGTATACTCTTTGGAGTGAGGGGAAACAGTTTATACTCGTGTACCCAATGGAGTTATATGGTCGTCTTTACTCGACTTCTTTCGTCGTTATGACGCCGGAGTCAATTAGGGCTTGGATCTTGTTTTTGAGTCCAAAGCAAATCTCAGTGGGATGAAGAACCCTTCTGTGGTACGCACAGTAATTTGGATCCATAATCATTTTAGCACCATCCTGATCTTTAATAGGTGGTAGCTCGATTTTGTCATTAGCGAGGAGTAATTCGGATCCGTAATCATCTTAGCTCCATCCTGATCTTTGATAGGTGATAGCTCAATTTTGTCATTGGCGAGGAGGTATTCCAATATGGATGGAGCTTCATCATCTTCGAAAGAATATTCCTTTTGGAACCTCGGATCGAGAGTCACGTTCTCAGTGATTGTAGATGTCGTCGGTCGGCTTCTCTCAGCTTTCTTTCTTTTAAGAAAGTGTTCGGCCTGTTCACCACGGAATTTTAACTCCTTCCAAGTTGTGGACGGCACGACCCCCAGGGCTTCCAGGACATCGATGGAAAGATTATTATGGCATGTTTGCAAGATGAACTCCTCTGTAACAGGATCCTTGCAACTAATTGCCTTGTCACGGAAGCGTTTGACAAAATTGTCGACCGACTCTCCGTCTTTTTGCTTCTCATCCAAAAGGGTTCTGATTGACACTTCGGTGTCATCATCGAAGAAGTTGCTGAGGAACAAACTTTCTATGTCATCCCAGTAATTGATACTCTCTGGCTTGAGCCGTCGATACCAATCGAAGGCGGGCCCACGAAGGGTGCCAATGAATGACCGGACCATTA